TCCTGTTCTATAACTTTCTTCTTCTGTTTAAACTAAACCCTGTAACACCACTTCCTCTTAGGTGAATCCTGTGATGAAACTCTCTTGGGTTCGAAGAGGATGGGGAGGAAGGGGATTTTGAAAGATGAAAGTAACCTGAAATACTAATACTAATTTCAAAATTTTTTTTTGTAAACAATGCTTAGTATCTGTAAATGTGCTATAAATTTTATGAAGCTGGCTTCCTGACAAAAAATGTATTTCATGAACAACCTGTTTGTAGTATTTGCATACGTGTACACACGCCCTGTGATAAATACGATATGCTGTGAGTTGGCTTGGTGGCTGTCATTTGATGTGGCGCTTTGTTGAAACGTCTAGTGTGTATATGTACGTACATATTAGAAGAATGGATCTAATTGCTTCAGTTACTATAAAGCGTGATTTGGATTTTTTGTCGTGTGTCCCATCCCTGTCCGCCCCCTCCCCACCCCTGTAATATATGCTGTTCCCTCAGACTGTCTCTTTATATTTGAAAATAGCTGCTTCCGAGAGAAGGGCTTTTCATGCTCTTTTCAGTTAAGGGTGTGGCTTTTTCTGGCACAGTTGTCTTAGAACAGGCTCTTGCATAAAAGCACTTATCATAGCAAAAAGTCCTTTGACACTACACCTTATTTTGGGGGCTGTAGTACACTACATCAGAAAGGAACTATCTTTACTGAAGAGTTGTGACTGTGAAGATGGTCTAAATGTTTTCTTTTCTTGCTGTCTGGGCAGGCTGTTGTGATTTTTGATGTGACTTTCCAGTTTACAGAACCCAGCGTGTGTTCAGCTTAACAGTTCAGATTCCTTTTACTTATTTATTGGTATCCATATCACTTGAAGCTCTTACTGGCGAGTTCATCGTACCTTACTCCCAAAGGGTCCTCTGAGGAAACTCATACATAAATTTCAGTGGCTTGTGCAAAATATTGTCAAACACATCTGTTTCTAATTCAGAAATCAATACTTGTATCGTCAGTAGCTGACCGCCATTAAAATAAACACTATTACAGTTGCATTAAAACAGTTAATTACTAGATGTTTGGGGCGGAATGCCATTAATTTGAGACATCTACAAAACTGAGCTATGAAACTGATATTTAACCTTAGATATAAAATGATCACTTAATGTTAAACATTGAATTTTGTGTTAAATTATTACCATTGCATAATGGTGAAGGACTAACACAACTTTGGCAAGACACTGTGATCCCATTGTAATGTTGCCTGTGCATGCTGTTAGGGACCAGCTTCTTTCCTTTGTGAGTAAGAAGCAGTGAAGAGAAACAGTTAATGGATATAATCCATTTGGAAATAGTTTTTGGTACTCTGAAGTAAGATGGAATTAGCATAAATAATTTAAATGCAGAATTACGTTTGCAGATGTGTGTGCACTCTCCTTTAAGACTGCACATGCACATATACACAAGATATAACATTACACTTAAATGTATTCTGGAAGTTGAATGCTTCAGCAGGCAGGAGCGGGCCATTGTTCTCTGCTGGTGGTGGTGAGAGTGAACATGATAGTTTTCTCATGGTTTGCTTTGAAGTAAATACACATTTGGAGTTATATTCAACAGAATGCAGTATAA